AATAGCACGAATTTTTGACACGTGGAAATCTCACACATGGTAATTCGATGCGTGGAAATCTCACACATGGTAATTCGATGCGTGGAAATCTCACACATGGTAATTCGATGCGTGGAAATCTCACACATGGTAATTCGATGCGTGGAAATCTCACACATGGTAATTCGATGCGTGGCATAATATGGCTAATAATATGAGTTAGATTGATAATAGTGAGTGTAATAAGTATAGTAATTGTAGTTCTATTGCTCATATAAGCATAATATCACGCGTGGAAATCTCATATGTGATAATTTGACACGTGGAAATCTCACACATGGTAATTCGATGCGTGGAAATCTCACACATGGCAATTCGATGCGTGGAAATCTCACACATGGTAATTCGACGCGTGGTAATTCAATGCGTGGAACTCTTGCACGTGGTAATGTGATACGTGGTGACTCCACGTGTAGAAATTTCGTATTTGATAATTCGATGCGTGGATATAGTTGTACTTCAACCAAGTTTAACTGCAATTCGACTTTGCTGTACTTTGCTACCCTGATTGTTACGATTTTTGCCACCAGTAATCCTCTTATCTAGTTATTTCTTGTACGATCGTGTCTCGTTTTTTATCGATGTATTTGCTGGAGTTTATCGTCGCTCAGTTACAATTTTTCCTCTTACGTTTCTTCGCTTCTTCGTCATTTTCGATATATGGCACGTCTTTCGAATAGCACGAATTTTTGGGGTGATTTAATTTTACTTTGATTTGAAACTTGAGAGAGTGGTATTACGTTATTTAACATTATTATTATTTAAAATTATTATTACATTATTATCTAAGATTAGATTGATTGTGTATAGTAGGAAATTTTTATGGCGATACCTTGAATCAATTTATCACCTGCATCGATCAGTGTCCAAGATTTATTCGGCTTAAAAAATTTTTATCGACTCGAACGTTACCGAAGCAATTTATAAAATAACAAATTGTAGAGATAAATTCCGGAATGACCGTTCGAAAATCCGTTTTATTTCGAGCCCTGAACGGCATTAAATCGCGCGGTAAATGTAGATTTTATTGAAATGAGAATCGTTTAATTTGTCAAATCGATTAACAGAAACGGGAGGCAACGAATCCGGATGATTAAAATCAAAGGATACCGACTAGACGGTATTTGTTTAATTTATACGAGGCGGAAACAGCAGGAACCGCAAACAGGGACGTTGTAACGAACCCGCAAGAGGGATAAGCATTATACAGGTATTCGAGCCTGTAAACTTTATGAATTTCAGAGGCGTAGTTAAATTGCGTAATTACAATATATATTTTTGCTGTTTGAAAGTTTCGTGGTTTTATTTGATTAGTTTATGCAAATGGACGATGAACTTTATTCAATTTGTTCGTGAATATATTTCATAACATATGTGAACATATGGTTACATGTTACACATACTCGTATGAACATATGTAACATGACTGTATGTTGACATTTCATATGAATATGTAACGTGATTGCATGTTAATATTTTTATGGTTGCAAGAGTATTTAACATTTCATACAAAAATTTCATATATTACATATGAATATTCTGCATATGTATCTACATATGTATACACAAGAATATACTACATATGTATATTTTACAGTAAAATAATTTTTGTATTAAAATAAAATTCACATGAGTACGAACATTCTCATCATCTCAAAGTTTTCAAAAATGCAATTCATGCGCCATCTCGTTCTACAATACCTCTCGAGCACAAAACACATATACGAATGGCTAAAAGCATCGATATAAATGCAAGCTCGAATGCCATCGAGAAGAAACATGTGTCGATACGAAGTTCTAAAAGCATCGTAATTGCAAGCTCCGAATTTATAAGAGAAAATTTATGTCCGTCGAGTAACGTTTATAGAGCATGTTTTCGTAACGCGATCGCGGCGACGTTACCAAAAAATATCGCGAATGTGGAAACGGTATGCGTTGACCCACATTCTATGGTCCTTGAAAGATTTCTCGCCGCCTTGAGCTCGCAGCTTTGGGTGACGTCTTCGTCTCCAGGGAAAACAAGCAAAAACTCTTTCGAAACTGTTCCTTTTCCGGTTAATCCGTCTCTCTTCAAACTTCCTTGATAAAAACGCACCCTCCCGTCAAATAACGTTCCGCGGGCTCGATTTGTGCAAACCCCGTCGATTACATCTGCGTTAGATTGCAAGGAAACTTTCAACATTTTATTTATTCAAAGAATGTGCAAATGTAAATTTACTTTCGAACGATCTTTTAGAGGTAACGTAAAGCTGTGATTAATACCAAATCTGGTTTCAGGTATGAAGTATCATGTTTCAGGTATCAAGTTTCAGGTTCTAAGTATCAGGTTTCAGGTATCAAGTGTCAAGTTCCAAGTGTCATGTTTCAGATATCAAGTTTCAGATTTCAACGATCAGGTTTCAAGTATGAAGTGTCATGTTTCAGATATCAAGTCCAGATTCCAAGGATCAGGTTTCAAGTATCAAGTATCACATTTCAGATATCAAGTGTCAAGTTCCAAGTGTCACGTTTCAGATATCAAGTTTCAGATTCCAAGGATCAGGTTTCAGGTATCAAGTATCACATTTCAGGTATCAAGTACCAAGTTCCAAGGGTTCTATCTCAGATATCATATTTCAAGTCCCTAATATCTACATGAAGGCATCCTTACAACACCAGTTACCAAATCTGAGACATCATTCAGAAGTAGAAGCAGATTAATAAAGTGTCAAGTTCCAAGTGTCACGTTTCAGATATCAAGTTTCAGATTCCAAGGATCAGATTTCAGGTATCAAGCATCACATTTCAGGTATCAAGTGTCAAGTTCCAAGTGTCATGTTTCAGATATCAAGTTTCAGATTCCAAGGATCAGGTTTTAGGTATCAAGTATTATATTTCAGGTATAAAGTGTCAAGTTCCAAGTGTCACGTTTCAGATATCAAGTTTCAGATTCCAAGGATCAGGTTTTAGGTATCAAATATTATATTTCAGGTATAAAGTGTCAAGTTCCAAGTGTCATGTTTCAGATATCAAGTTTCAGATATCAAGTTTGAGATTCCAAGGATCAGGTTTCAGGTATCAAGTATCACATTTCAGGTATCAAGTGTCAAGTTCCAAGTGTCACGTTCCAGATATCAAGTTTCAGATTCCAAGGATCAGGTCTCAGGTATCAAGTATCACATTTCAGGTATCCAGTGTCAAGTTCCAAGTGTTCTATCTCAGATATCATATTTCAAGTCCCTAATATCTACATGAAGGCATCCTTACAACACCAGTTACCAAATCTGAGACATCATTCAGAAGTAGAAGCAGATTAATACAAACTCGCCCAAGCAATAAATCCAGAACCCCGCAGACAGATCGATTTTTGGAAAACGACCAAAACCGTAAAAATGTCATACTTTCAAAGTGTATCCAGCAGCGTCCAAAATGTTGATCGAATCGATCGAACAGCATTTAATAAAGCCCGTAATGACAAGTACGCCACGATTAATTGCTAATTGAGACTCTAATGCGAGCGCAGGCGAATCTGGACGCAATTCCGGCCGGAAATTGCAGCGATCTCGTCCGCAAGAATGAATGCATCCGTGGTGGACGGTAATTTACGATACACAGATTAGAAAAGCCACGATAAATTTTACTGACCACGCGAGCTAGCTTCTACCAACGCAAAACTGTATTTATGGCCGACATCGGGGACGGGGTGGACGATAGGTCCCCTACGATGATAATTAAATATAACGAATCGGAAGCGAGATGTTGCGTTCTCGAGGTACTTGCTAGTTTGACAATTTGATGATCTGGGGATTTTGGGGAGTGGAGGAAATTTGGGAGTTGTGGAGGTGTGGAGATTCTGATGTGGGTTTTGGGGGTTTGAAGATTTAGGGGTTTCAGGGTTTGGCATTTGAAAATTTTGACAATTGAGAATTTTGGTATTTGAGAGTTTAGGTATTTGAGGGTTTGGGCATTTGAGGGTTTAGGTAGTTGAGGATTTGGCACTTGAGAGTTTAGGTATTTGAGGGTTTGGGCATTTGAGCGTTTAGGCATTTGAGGATTTAGACATTTGAGAATTTTGGCATTTGAGATTTTAGGTATTTGAGGGTTTAGGTATTTGAGAATTTGGACATTTGAGAATTTTGGCACTTGAGAGTTTAGGTATTTGAGGGTTTAGGCATTTGCGGGTTTAGGTATTTGAGAATTTTGACAATTGAGAATTTTGGCATTTGACATTTTAGGTATTTGAGAGTTTAAGCATTTGAGAATTTGGA